CGGTGGTGATTGTCCGATCGGCTTCGTCGGTAGCGGTGCCGTCGTTTCCGTTCTACGCCGTCTACGCCGCAACTAAAGCGTGAGTACCGAATTAATACTTCTCTTTGATGTTACTTTTACTTTCTAATCACAGATTTATTATTATTATTATTACATTAATATAAAAAAAAGGTAGGAGAAAAATGGGTCAGTGATTTAATTTATTATTATTATTATTACATTAATATAAAAAAAAGGTAGGAGAAAAATGGGTCAGTGATTTAATTTATTATTATTATTATTACATTAATATAAAAAAAAGGTAGGAGAAAAATGGGTCAGTGATTTAATTAGCATTAAAGCAACATTCTAGTGAAAATTGGGCAAAATTGTAAATTAAGGATAAACAAAGTCCTTATACTTTTCATCATCTTCTGGGAAAATATTTGATAAAAATATAAGGTTAATGTATGTTTCTTTTTTTGGAACCTAATTAGAGGGAGTCTAATAGCCTCTTAATGATTCTACCGCTGCTATATTTTTGAAGGAGGAACCACTCAAGATATCATATTATTTCTACTTTAATCAATTGTACTTTTTTTTTAATTTTGGTGGTATATTTATTATTTAGCGTCTTAGCGTTGCATGAACGTCCAACAGAAACACAAAAATGACTAATAGATACGTCATAAATTCTTACGTGAAAAATTTTAAAAAGGAAAAAACTACAGAGTATAGCCCTGTTAAAATAACCCACTTTAAACTAGTGAATACACGTACAGACTCTTGTTCCACATACTAAAAAGAGTTATAGAGTTTCTCAAAGTATAGTGTCTGTATGCAAAAGGGTTTTTTGTATAATAGTTGAGAGTTGTTACCACTAGAAGTTATCACCGGAACTTTGGTACACCGTCTTCGGAGTATGCCACTGCAAGGTATCCAAAGCATTACACGGGGGTTGTAAGGTGCTTTGTTACTCCACACGGCACTTCGTTTAAAGGACGTCGTCACTCTGCGAGATTGACCATTGGCCACGAGCAGGCGGCGACCAGCATTAGTTGACAATAACTGTCGAGAAGTGGTCGATAATAGTCTGCAGCTGTGGAGGAAGAGATCATTGGGTCTTCAGTCCATAACAACACTAAAAATTGGTTGATTTTTCTCCTGATCCAGCTCTAGGCTCAGCTCTTGGTCTTTTGGTCTCCCTTCTTGAAGAGAGGATGGCTCTATTTATATATTATCGGAGTGTCTCCCTCTATAAATAAGACAGAAATTCAGGCAACTCCATCGGACGTCCTAGAACAATCGTCTTGATTGAATGAAGTTTTAAGGACATTTAAACTCCTTAATGATGTAAAAATTGAGTGATTTTTGTCTCGTTTGATTCATCTCGTTGGGACGCTTGTTAAAACTTTAAGCTTGTCAGATTTACAATCTATTTCACCCTTCAATTAACCTCTTAATGCTTCCAAAAGTGGTTTGACAACTTTATTTGTGCTTGTTTTCACTTGAATTAAACCAAATTTGGTGACATTGGATCTTTATGTCAGTCAGTTTGACTGTAAGTTTGTTCAAATTGGAGCTCTGATTAATTTTTAATTTGAGTTGATATATTTCTTACCTAAAAAATGTTTTGAAATTTATGTCGGACACTCAAATTTTTACCAGCTATCAGTTACTTAGAATGATGAACACAAGTTATGTTATATAAAAGTTACAATTGTTCACCCACTTATCAATTTTGTTCACAACCACAAATATTTAAACAAGACGGCGATTTGACAGAATTTATAAATGGAACCATAGTTTCTTACTCATGTTTCAAAAATAAAAGATATTGAACATGTTGAAAGAATGTTATGTGCATTGTACTAAATTTCGAATTATTACAGAGTAGTTATTCAAAACATATGAAATCTTATGCTTGATTATTTAATAATATATCTACAGATGAATTATAAAGCCGAAAAATGTTTGTAGTCAAAATTTGCTTTGCGTTGGTCTCGTTTCAACGAGATATCAACTTCCAATACGTACAAAATTACAAATTGAATGTAATTGTATTCGAGGCAGGTAGACATTTTAAATTATTTTATTTTTTTAATCAAGTTCTTACACATTCGAACACAGTGCATAATTTTAGGTGACACTGGTCATTCTATTGTGGCGGTAGCATTGATCGAGTGTTGAGAGCATCCAAAGGCTTCTTGAATCTCGAGGAGCTCCACGTTTGGCGGATCATCCTTAGATTCATTATGCTCATTTTTATTAATTGTAATTTAAAATTAATATCAACAGCAACAACAATTTTTTATCCCACTAAATAGAATCGGCTACATGGATCCTATTTCTCCATTGCATCCTATTGAGTAGGGCTGTCAAAAAAATTTGTTGTTCGCTAGCAGTTCGTGTTTGGTTCATTAATGAGTTTGTGTTCATTTCGTTCGATAAGTAAAAGAGACGAACGTGAACAATTT